TCAAGGCTGAATTATAGTCCATTGTACGGGCGGACCCCAATTTATCTGTTCATCTGCCATCGGACACTTGGGGTGGGACACTGGCTTACATGGGAATTCTGTTCCGAATTTTTTCAGGACCCGCCGTACTGGTTTCCACAGCAGCTGCGCCATTGTTCGCTCCCGCCAGCAACATGCGAGGGTTCCAGTTTCTCTACTGCTTGGCAAACACCTGTTACATTGTTGTTGCTGTTTTTGATGCACATCATCCTGATGAGTGTGATAAATTGGCACATTTTATTGTATATATTGTATATAATACATATTGTATATTGCATGTAAATGATGCCTCATTAAATTGTGTATAATGTATCTCGTATATTGCATATCAATTATACCGGAATAAAGTTGACTTTTAAAATGATCTTTTTTTTTTTCAAGATTTAGTTATTATTTGAGAGAGAGTGAGCAAGAGAGAGAGAAAACATGAGCCCCGGGGGTGGGGGGGGTGGAACAGAGGGAGACAGGCTTCCCGCTGAGCAGGGAGTCCGATGTGGGGCTCGATCCCAGGACCCCGGGATCATGACCTGAGCCGGAGGCAGACACTCAGCCGATGGAACCACCCGGGCGCCCCCAAAATGATCTTTTAAGCAAAGAGTTATACCTGGAGCCCATGCAAACCAGGACAGACGGAGACCCACGGAGACGTTCGGCTGCCCTAGTCTAAGGTAAGAGACGTGTGCATCGTCAGCTGATGGGAGGCTAAGGTTCGATCTCAAGCAGTGACTGCCACATTATGGGTGTGAAAAGTTTATTCTGCGGTTTCCAGTGGCTTTTGTTGAATTGAGATGCTCCTATGGGGGCGTCCAGGCGCCTACAGACGTGGGAAGGCATGGGACAGGATCATCACAGGCGGCGGTCAGGTCGCAGGTGGTTAACGTCGAGTTGGGACTCAGTTCCAGGAAGCTTCGCTGTTAGTCCCTGGTGGCTGTGGCAGTAAGTGACCTCCAACTCGGTGGCTTAAAACAGCACAATTTCGTTATCTCACAGTTCTGGAAGTCAGACGTCAGACACCGGGCTGTGGGGCCTCAAGTCAAGGAGTCAGCAGAGCCGCATTGTTCTGGGAGCTCTAGGGGAGAACTGCTTGTTTGTCCTTTTGAGGGGGAAGGATGGGGAGGTTAGGACATTATTTTTTTAAAGAGCAGTTTTAGCTTCACAGCAAAACTGAGAAGATACAGAGATTCCCCAAATGCCCCCTGCCAGCACATAGGCACACCCCGCCCCTCCATCAACATCCCCCCCAGAGGGGCCCCTTTGTTAGAATGGATGAACCCACATTCCCATTCCTGCATCGTTACCTGCCAGAGTCCATCGTTTACTTTAGGGTTGTTTTGTTTGTTTTTTAAGATTTTATTTATTGATTTGAGACCCTTGCAATCATGCTGAGCCTACCTGGATAAACCTGGACAACCTCCTCACCTCAAGATGCTCACTTTAATCACATTTGCAAAGTCCCTGTTGCCGTGTAAGGTGACATATTCATAGGCTCAGGGGATTAGGACACGGACGTCTTCGGGAGACCGTTATTCTGCCTACTACAGTGGTGCTCCTGGCAACTGCTGTTGTGTCCCAGGAACATGACAGTATATTTCAGATCTATTGTGGGGTGCTCTCGGAGCTTCCTGGGTCTCCAGGAAAGAAGGTCTGTCTTTAAGACTGCTGACCTGACCCAGTCACACTCTCGGGGGAGACGTCGCAGGACTCCTTTGTATTCAGGCCCCCGCCTGTACCACCTTTAGAATACACTCTTTCTGGCAAGACCGATTCTCCAGGAAAGCAAGTCAACTGAAGGTCAAGGTCTCTGGGATGAGTGTTACGCTCCCAGAATGCCTTTCTTCCCAGGGAGGTTGAATCTTGGATGAGGGAAGGAAGGAGGGAGGGTCTGGGACCAAGAAGCCAAAGATGAAGAACTTGACCCTGACCTTCTCATGCAGGGTCTTCGTGTACCGACTCAATGTTGACAGGTTGGAGCCTGGCCGCCTGCCGGGATGCAGGCCTGTGAGCTGACCAGGAGGGGGCATGGCAGATGGTGGGGGCAGGACGGAGTCTCAAGGCTCCTGCCCAGGGTTCTCTCAGGCCCCGGACCCCAGTGTCCAAGCCAGGTCTTTGGAATATTCCAGGGAAGCTCCTGCTTAACTTTGAGGTCTCCTCCTTCTGCCCCAACCACAGCCGGTACTCGGTACTCGCTCAGCTCCATTCCCAGGCGAGACACCTGGGCCTCTCTGCTCACCTGTGCTGCTGGACATCCACCACTACGCTGACCACCATTGAGGGTGTCAGCCAGACTTAAAGGCTATCTGCGGACTGTCAGTCTGTTTCTGTTGCTCTTCAGTTGGCCACGGGTCTCCCGATGGCCGGTAAGTTAGACTAGAATCTGTGAGTCTTCCAGACCATCATTGACCCAACTCACCGAGTACCCAGGTGCCGGACTGGTGTTCTGGTTGCCTCCCCCACTGTGAGCCACATGTCTGTCAGTCGATCCTGTCTTGTGTGAGGCTGCACAATGGCCTTTAAATATATCCACGTCCTAATCCCTGGAACTTGGCCGCTCTCTTATATAGCAACAGAGATTTTGCAGAGGTGACTAGGAATTTAGAGGTGGGAAATGTAGACATTAAAGAGTTTGGTGGGTCTTGGTTCCCTGCTCTTGGCAGGCATCATCTACACCATTGGGATTTTCTGAGTGATCGGAGTGTCTTCGTCAATCGTGGGGGCTCCTTGGACCACACCTGAGTTATGCCGAGGAGATGGCTCAGGGTGGGGGTTGGTCACGCCAGAAAGAGGTCCAGGAGGGGTGGGACCTTCAACCACCTGACCTCCATGGAAGGGGAGGGGAGCTAGAGATGGTGGCAATCGTGTGGCTCCTGATTCAGTCAACCACGCCTGCAAAATGAAATCTCAATGAAAACTCTGGACACCAATGCTCAGAGGAGCTTTCTGGTTGGTACAAACATGACCCTGTTCACCATGTGGATGTCTTCATTTGGCTACTGTGGGTTTGTGTCCTTTCTAGAGCTTTCCTGAGTTCTGTGAGTTATTCTAGTGAATTACAGAACGAAAGGAATTGTGAGAGCCTCTGAATTTGTATCAGTTGGTCAGAATCAGTTGGTCCAAAGTGTGGGTGACCAATAGCGCCCCCAAACTCGCAGCTCGTGTCTGCAATGAGGACAGACACTCTTGTTAGGAACTGTGCCTTTAATCTGTGGGTGGGTCTGCACTAACTCAGAGTGTTAAAAGTGCCACAGTTGCCTTGGTATTACAGGGACCATCCTGGATTAAGACCTGGGTCAGTCTTAACTGCAATCACAAGCATCCTTATAGGAAGGGAGGCAGAGGGAGATTTGATGCAGAAGAAGGCAATATGATCAGGGAAGCAAGATACTGCTCTACTGATTTTGAAGATGGAAGAAGGAGCCATGAGCCAGGGAATGTGAGGAATGAAGCTCTAGAAGCTAGAAAAGGCAAGGAAACAGTTTCCACCCTGGAGTTTCCAGAGGGAGCCTGGTCCTGGTGACACCCTGATTTTGGCCCAGTAAATCTAATTTTGGACTTCTGATTTGCAGAACTGTCAGCGAATGTGTGTTGTCTTTAAGCCACCAAGCTGGCGGTCATTTGTTACCGCTGTAACAGAAACTCATACACCCCTTCTAAGCCGACTGTCTGGAAATCCATCAGTCTGGCCAACAGTCCAGTAGGTATGTTATCTGTCCAGGACTCGGGTGGCTCCTGGTCCTGGTTAGTGCCTCGCTCTGGGCGGCAGTCATAGAGCACGCAGAGGACTGGGGTTCACTGGAAGGTTTCCCTTGGCCAGGGAGTCTGGGTGTTGTTCCCTCTTCTGCCTGCTCAGTCCCTGCTCTCATGGCTGGGCAGCCTGGGGGCTCTCAAAGGCTGCCCAGAACTAAAGGTTGTTAGCCTGTCCTTCCCCTCAGTTGGACCTGTCTCCACTGGAAATTCTGGGAGAGTCCCAGATCTCCAGGATGGGAGCAGGAAACTTTGGGAGTGCAGGGTGAATTCAGATCAAAAGTCCCCAGCTGATAAAGCCAGGCTCAGGGCACCCTGCACCCCCCAAATGGGTTTAGCTACACTTCACACACCCCAACACCCTCTGCTTGCAAATCCCATGGTTTCTCAAAAACTCCATCTTCTCTGGGATGTATGGGATCAGTCCATCCAGTGGTCACAGAACCTGTCTTAGGACAGAGAGACCTGCTCTTTGGATCCAGACAGCCCCTCTCCCACCTGCCTCAGGGCCTTGTCTCAGACTGTCAGATCTCCACCGTGGGGTGACAGTGTCCTCAAGGAGGGGCCACCCCTGCAGAATTCCAGCAAGGTTCCTTCCCTAGAGGTGTGGCTTCTCCAAATGCATCATGTGGCATTCGTGTATTCTTCCTTTGAGTCACTGGTCACCTTGTTCCTGTGCCCAGCTAGATCAGAAGGAGGAGCACTGGGTCAGAGTCATTCCTGTGTCCCTAGAGCCTGACAGCTGTCCTGGGCAAGTGCAGGTTACTCACTGAGCTTTGGAGCATCATAGGGCCAGGAGGTCACTTAGAGAGGTCGGGGTCACTCACGGGGCTGATACTGGGGTCTCTGGGATAAAACTTGGAACAGCTCACCAAAGCCACGAACCCAGATTCATTTCTCAAGGATTTATTGATGCTTCCTAGGACTTCGAAGACAGCTCACAAAACCCCTATCTGTGATGCCTCCCAGTGGTGCGGGGTGGGTAATGCAAGAAAACCAAACAGCTCCATCCCTGAGTTGCCCTACTTTGATGCGGGGTGTGGGGCGTGGGGTCCGTGGACCGGCTCAGGAGACAGGATTTGGGTGGGGTTGGAGGCTGGGTTACGTCTGTGTGAGGGCTTTCAGTGAGGTTGGAGTGGAGGTCCCAGCGCCTTTACCTGCCTGGGTTGGGTGGGGCGGTTCTCAGTAGTGGAGGGTGGACCTGGTGGGGGGAGGGCAGGGCGCCGCGGGGAGGAATCAATGGCAGTGGCCGGCTCCAGGACGGTGACCTGCTAGGGCGATCTCCCTGGGGTGGGGTGGGGGGTGGGTACGGCTGCAGACACTGGTCAGCAGCTGTGTCTCTTCTCACAGATCCAGTTGTCCCTCTCGTTTTCGCATGGTGCGTCGTTCCACATCCCCGTGCGTAGCATCATAGCGCAGTCCTCACGCCCCATAGAGTCATTGGGCTCCCCCATGTTCCAGTGGCTGCAGTGGTTTGTCGGGGATGTTTCTGGCCCTCAGGATGGGCCTGGCGTGCAGCCCTGAGGATCTACCCTGTTTATTGCTTGGGTCTAACCTAGACACCCTGAGGGTTTAATGTGAGCACGCACCTGCGACATCACTTTCTAACTCCCTGAATTGAACCCTCAGCCAGGTCCTGGGGTCCGGCCCGCCCATCCCTACCGAGTCCCTGAGATCTGGCCAACGCAATTCCCGCATATGCTGACCTGTCCCTCTCCCCAAGTCCCTGCCCTCACCTGAAGCTGAGCGGGACTCCGTCCACCCACTGGTAGCCCTGGATCGTGCGTCCGCGGCGCACCGCCCTCAGGCCCAGCCAGTAACCGCGGCCTCGCGTGTTCCGACTCAGGAAGCCCTGCTCAGGAAGGGAGACCCAGCCGGCTGAGTGGCCTCGCCACTCTCGCCCCCCACCCCCCTCAGGTGAATTCCGCCTCCCGCCTGCGACCGCTGGGGGCTGCGCACCTGCTCCTCCAGGTCCCCGACAATCACCAAGTGCGCGCCTGCGCCCGCGCAGTTACGCTGCGACTCCTCCCATGTGGCCCGCTGGACGGAGAAAAGGTAGCAGGAGCCCTGGAAGGGTAGCCATGACGCGGGGCACTCTTCACAGGAGCCTGTGGGGTGGCGAGAGTCAAAGACGCGAACTGCTCCTGGTAGAGCAGACGGAAAAAACCGGGGGTGGGGAGGGGGCGGGAAGTGGACCCCTGAGGTCTAGAGGCGGAGGCACAGAGAACAGGCCAAGGTCAAGGGGCAGGATAGTGCGGATCAAGGAACCCCGAGGCCCACAGGTAGGTCCACTTGTCCCTTCCCTCTCTCCCCTCTATCTTGCTCACTGTTCCCTAGCCGGGCGGCCTCCAGAGCCCTGAATAGCTCACTGCGGATGTCCTCGCGGTCCCTGCCCGCTTTAGCCAAGCTCTGGGTCACTGCAAAGTCAAGGGAGTTCAGATTATAAATCAGGTCAGGGCCAGGAGTAAGGTCATGATTAAAGGTCAGCATCCACTTCCATGGTTAGGATCATGGTCAAGAATGACATCGCGGTCAAGGACTGTTCTAGCTGGTCCGGGGCAAGTTGCGGTTGGGGTTAGGAGTTGTAGTCAAGATCAGAGTCCAGCTGTCAGAGGTCAGGATCACAGGATAGGGTCGCCGTAACCCTAACCAGGATAGGTGTCAGTATGTGAATGACAGCCGGGATGACGGATCAGGGGTCCAGGCTATGTCCCCCTCTCACCGCGATTGCTCAGTTCTTTCAGGGTACTCTCTTGCTGGATCAGCTTCGCCTGCGCCTCCCCAAGCTCGGTGCGTGTCCTCTGCAGCAGCGCCTGTGTCCCCAAGCCTGGGAAGCAGGGGGGGAGGGAGTGAAGGACCTGCGCGAGACGTCAGTAACCCACCCGTCGGCCCCCCCGCCCGACCTGCCCCAAACCCCGCCCCTGCTCGCCTCCTCCAATCCCGGCCCAAGCCCCGCCCCGAGCACGCGAGTCTCACAGCAGCTGTTGCACGCCCGGATCTCCTGGTTCAAATTGCCCAGCGCCGCGGTCTGCTCCGAGGCTGGAAGGATTCCCGCCCCACAAACACTCCCGGTCACCCGCGGGGACTCACAGGACACCCTTCCCCGCTCGGGAACCAGGCCCCGGGACCGCGGACCACCCACTACCCTGTCTCCAGGGTCCTAAACACTCCGGCCCAGCACACCACGTGGGCGGAGGTGGGGGGGGGGCTCCTAGTCCCGTTCTGCACGCACCGTTTGTCCTCAGCAGGTCCTGGTGGCCAAGCAGCGTCCCTCGCTCGGTGGAGGCTGTGGAGAAGAGGCTCCTACAGGTGCGACCGGGGACTCCGGCATTCTCCCCCCTCGCCCAGGGGGTGCAGGGGCCCCGTCTTGGGACGCATAGAAGGGGTGGGTAGGCATACATTCACGTGATGTGCACACACCCAGGGGAGACAAACACATGGGGACATGCACACACATACATGCACGCACTGACATACACATGTGGGTGCGCACAGCCCAAAGATGTGCACAGACTGTTCACACGCGTTCACACTCAGACCCAGGCGGGGGTCTGGGACCCAGCTGTTGCGTCCAGAGACAGATGGAAGATCTATGTCCCCAGGGTGGCTTGACACAACCTCCCCTCATTATGTGGTCACTCACCTTTAGAAACTAGGACGCTCAGAATGAGGGCCCACAGGACTGTGGCTACCACCAGAAGCAGGCCCAGGAAGAGGAGTCTCCGTCCCCAGCTTCCCCAGTACCCTGGGATAACACAGATGAACTCCTGGGTCCTTCCTGCTCCAGGACCGCCCTGGGTCTCTGGGCCCCGAGGATGGAGCCCTGGGCGCTTGGGCTACTCCCAAGGAACTGAGGTTCAGAGAGGTTAAGTAATTTGCTCATGGTCACACGAGCTCCAAGTGGCAGAGTTAGAATTAGAATCCGGGTCCAGCTCATTCTGGCGCCTGTGGTGTCTCTTCTGCACCCACTACTTGGACTGCCTTTTGGCTGTTCACCTCCCTTCCCCCATCAAACCCCAAACCACTGACCAGAAAGACCCAAGCTGGTGAAGCAGTCCCATTGCTCATACCTCCAGGGACTTCCTCGAGCCTGCTGTCCCACTTGCTGTACCCGACAGTGTCCATGGTAAGCAAATGCCCAGCCCTGGGCATAGATATAAATGTAGCCCCCTCCCAGTCCCGCCTACTCTTCCTTCCCATCTCCTTCCTCTCAGTTCCTGGTACTGGGACCCAGAGACCAAACACAGGGCTGGGCCCTTTCTGGTCTGGGCCTGTTTTAAGAGTAAGTATGAAGGGGGGATGGGGGAAGTGGAATCAGAGGTGAGGGGTAGAAGAGGGTTGAGTGGGGTAGAAGGAGTGAAGAGGGGTGGGGAGAGTGTGTGTGTGTGCGCGCGCACGCAGTTCTGGTCTCTCTAGCCAAACAGCAGCAGCAACATCTCCAGACTGGTGCTGGGGGCTTCATTTTGGAGCTCACCCCCATTTCTTATAGGTCTGGGGCCTGGTTTCTTCCAGAGAAGAACAGACTGAACCCAGCCAAGTTCTGGCCCCCTTCTGAGAGTTCCTGAGAAAGCCCCCTCAGCTCTGGCCCCTCCAGGCCAGCTCAGCTTCCCCCCTCAACTTCCCTGCAGGTTTCTGGAGACTGAAGCTGACCCTGACCTTAATTCAACTCTTCTTGGCCAGAAGGGAGAACACAGATGTTTGTTGGGTGGTGGCCAGCTAAGCTTCTGGATTCTATTATTGGGTGGGTGAGTGGGGGTGTATGTATGTAACTTCAAGAAGCCTCAGTTTTTCTCCTCTGAGGGGAAAAAGGGGGGACAGTGACAGGTCCTCCCCTCAAAGGATGCTGAGATAAAGACATGAGGTTATGCACGCCAAGCCCAGGGACCATCCCCAGGCATAAAACCCACTAACTGTTCATTAATTCTTTCAGTAAATATTGTAAATATTGGACAGCTACCGTGTGCCAGGCACCAATCTAGGAATTGTGTGTACATCAATGCCCCAAAAGAAGCAAATTCCTTCCTTCTTGGAGCACACATTCTAGGTGAGGTAGAGAGAGACAGACAAATAAAAAATGAACATAATGCAAAAGTAAGTTATATACCATAGTGGTTCTCAACCGGGGGTGATTATGCCCCCCAGGAGACATTGGTCAGTGTCTGGAGACATTTGTGTGTATCACGTTTTGGGAGGGTAGGTACTACTGACATCTAGGGAGTGGAGACCAGGGATGCTGTGACACATCCCCTAACACACAGGACAGCCCCCCACAGCGAGGAGTGATCCACCCAATGTCAATAAGGCTGAGGGTGAGAATCCTAATGTCATATATTCACAAGTCATAAGTGCCATGAGAAAAAAGGGAAGGAAAAGTCAAACAGGATAAAAGGCTTGGGCAGTGGGTTGGTAAGTGGGGCTGGGGCAGTGGCGGGTAAGTGGGCTTCACCAAGAAGGACAAATATCAAGCACTTCCCACATTTCAGTCCCTCCTGTAGATGTGTGAACACATCCCACTTCCCAAATCCTCTGAACAACCCTCAGAAATAACAAATATTATCTCTACCTTTAAAAAATTTTTTTAAATTCAGTGCCTATTTTCCTACCTTGTTCCAGAAAGAAATGCAAGAAGACATGATAAAAGAAGATGAAAAGGCAGAGGGTGGGGCAACTGGTTGGCTCAGTCAGTTAAGCATCTGCCTTTGGTTCAGATCATGATCCAGGGGTCCTGGGATAGAGCCCCACATTGAGACATTGAGCCCCCTGCTCAGCAGGCCCTCTGCTTCTCTCTCTCCTTCTGCTCTTCCCCCAACTCATGCTCTCTCTCTCTGTCTCTCTGAAATTTAAAAAAAAATCTAAAAAAAAAAAAGATGAAAAGACAGAGGCAAAGGAGAAATGAGGACCAGGAAGGGAACATGAATTTAAGAGATGAATCTGGTGCACAAAATTTAGCCAGAGATACTGGACTCTTGATAAATGCCCCCAGGAAAGTAGGGTCAGACATCTGGGAATGTGCTGCAAATTCTTTCAGAGGAATCTCTCCAGCAGACATGTCAACCAAGTCCCCATCCAACTTTCCATAAATACAGCAGCAATTTTCTGTCACTGGGCGGAGGTGGACAGCTTCATGGTCAGGTGTGGTTTTAGGGAAAGCAGGCTCCCCTTAGCTCAAAGCAAGTGACCGTCCCACTGTTGGGGTGCTTTTAGCAGGTTATTAGAAGCAGTGAGTTTGAGACCTCAGAGAGAAGCCAGCTGAATGAGAGACAAGCCACGGGCTTCAGTAGATACCCAGGAAGGGTCTGTCCCTGGCACGCTCCCTCTCTAAATGAGAATCCTGAGTCTAAAGGAAATCATTTAAGTACAGTGGGAGAAACTATGCCTCATATGGAAACCAGGACATGCAAAATGTCACCAATGAGCCAGATGATAACCTCAGGAAAATAAGTTACTCTCTTGGTACCCCATTTCTTCATCTTTAGCATCAACAGGTGGTAAAGCTTTTGTTACCCAATTCGTTATGTCTCTGTGGCGATGTAGAAGACAGCTGGGAATGTACTGTGAGATATCTGATTTACTATACAAGTATGGGATATTATTTAAAGTAATGGTGTCCCCGTTTACTAAAGACATTACTGTGGTCCTGTATCACTGGACCAGTGTGGAGCACCAGTTGAGGCTAGCCTCAGGCTTCAGCGGATACTGGGAAGCATCTGTCTCTGGCATTCAGTCTCTCTCTCTCTCTCTCTCTCTCTCTCACACACACACACACACACACACACACCCGCAGGAATTTTCAATGGCAGACCCAAAGATTTCCTTTAGAAATGATCTTGGTCCCGTTCACAGACAACAGGCAACTAAGACCTCATGGTTTTAAGTCAAAAGGTTGTGCTTTTTAAAAAAAAAAAAAACATATTATTTATGAGAGAGAGAGAGAGAGAATGAATGAGTGAGGCAGGGAGGACCCGAGGGAGAGGGAAAAGCAGACTGTCAGCTGAGCAGGGAGCCTGACAGCGGGCTCTATCCTAGGACCCTGGGAACACGAGCCAAGCTGAAGTCAGACATGTGACCAACTGAGCCCCCCAGGTGTCCCTAACCTGTACATATTTAAAGAGTACAGTTTTGACTAACCCCTGACACCACAATGCATGCGGATGATGGGTGCGGCCATGACCACCCAAAGTCCCCTGTGTTGCTCGGTAAGCCCCCCTCCCTATCCCTCGGCTACCACTGACCTGCTTTTGGTCTTTAGAGTGGTTCGCGTTTTCTAGAATTTTGTATGAATGGCACCATACAACGTGTAGCCTCTCGAGGCTGGCTTCATTTGCTTAGCGTAACTATTCTGACATTCCTCCGTGTTGCATTAACCCTTCCTTCCCACTGCTGGGTAAAATCTCATTGTGTGGATCTACAAGTGTGATTCTATATTCACCTGCTACATCTGTCATGAGTAAAATGGCTGTGAGCTTTTGTGAGCAAGTACTGTCGTGCATATATGCACTCATTTCTCTTGGGTACATACCTAGGAGTGGATAATTGCATTATATGGTAGGTATGTTTCATTTTTTAAGAAACTGCCAAATTATTTTCCAAAATGGCTGTGCCATTTTTCATTCCCACCAGCGATGAATGAGAGTTCCGTTTCCTCCCACATTCTTGCCAGCACATGACATGGTTAGTCTTTTTAATTTTGGACATCCTCTTATTAGCACAGTGTGATTTTAAATTAGCGTTTCCTTGATGATTAATGACATGAAGCATCTTTTCCTATGCTTCTTTGCCACCTGAGTATTTTCTTTGGTGACCTGTCTCTTCGGATGTTTTGCCCATTTAAAGAAATGGGTTGCCTCGGTCCATCTGAGAGAGCAACTCTACTAGAGCCGTCCAAGGAAGTTTGGCCAGGGTTGTCACTCTCGCTGTGTTTGTTTAAACCAGCACCGCCTGGTCTAGAAATATGGCTTCATTATTTGCTGCCAGTGTCTCTGTCGGTATGTAAAGGATACAGGCTTCACTAAGTTGGATTAAGTGAACTACCTTCCAAGACACCTACCTTAACTGCAAATATCCAAGATACCTATAATGCTAACTCATTGTACATAAAATAAAAACACTTTGATTATTATTATTTTTAAAGATTTTATTTATTTATTTATTTATTTATTTATTTGACAGACAGAGATCACAAGTAGGCAGAGAGGCTGGCGGGCCTGGGGAGCAGACTCCCCGCTGAGTGGAGAGCCCGATGCGGAGCTCAATTCCAGGACCCTGGGATCATGACCTTAGCCGAAGGCAGAGGCTTTAACCCACTGAGCTACCCAGGCACCCCATGAATTTTTTTTTTAAGGGATTGGTTGGAGTGCACGGGTGGCTCAGCTGGTTAAGCAACTGCTTAACTTTGGATCAGGTCATGATCCCAGGGTCCTGGGATAGAGTCCCGCATCGGGCTCCCTGCTCAGCAGGAAGCCTGCTTCTCCCTCTCCCAGTCCCCTGCTTGTGTTCCCTGGCTTGCTGTGTCTCTCCCTGTCAAATAAATAAGTAAAATATATTTTTTAAAGATTTTATTTATTTACTTGACAGAGAGAGATCACAAGTAGACGGAGAGGCAGGCAGAGAGAGAGAGGGAAGCAGGCTCCCTGCTGAGCAGAGAGCCCCACGCGGGACTCGATCCCAGGGACCTGAGATCATGACCTGAGCCGAAGGCAGCGGCTTAACCCATTGAGCCACCCAGGCACCCAATAAGTAAAATATTTTAAAAAAATAAAAAGGGATTGGTTCTTTTCTTATTGAGAGTTTTTTATATATAATCTGGTAACAAATCTTTTATCAGATATGTGATTTTCCCATCTTTTCTCCTCATCTGTGGTTTTTTTCTTTTCATTCTCTTAACAGCATCTTTCAAAGAGCAAAGTTTTACATTTTCCAATATATCCACTTTTCTTTCATGGGTTTTGCTTCTGGTGTTTTATCTAGGAAATCTTTGCCCAATCCAAAAATTTCTCCTATGTTTTTCCCAGAAATTTTATAGTGTTGGGTTTTACATTTAGATCTTTGATACAGTTTGAGTTAATTTCATAGAAGGTGAAAGATCTTATAATTGAAGTTCATGGCGGGGGACAGCGAATATTAGTTTGAAACGTTGTTGAACTAGAGGCAACCTGAAGTCAACAACTTCAACTGGAGTATAGCAGAGTGGG